GAGTCAAAGAGATATTTAAGCGGGAGAACCTGAGGCTGCTTTCCGCATTACAGTTTGAATTGTAAAGCACGTGGTGGTGGAAGGCTGCGGTCCAGGTCCACGGTGGGAGGCCTGACTCTGTTTTGAGTCCTGACATAAGTTCAGGTGCCATTTGGGTTCTTTGTGTTACTTCCCAGCTGCCTGCTGACCATTAAAGGAGCAAGGTGGAAGTGCTTAGAGAAGGCCAGGGCAGCACAGGGCAGGGCAGTCTGCCCTCAGGAAGAGAGAAGTTCAAAGTAGATTATGCAGAAAGATGCTCACACAAAGAACTAGGGACCTGCACTCACCCACAGTAGCCAATCAGACTGATTTAAGTCAAAGGTTGGAGCCCCGGTCTGGGGGTGACTACGAGTCAAAATCGACTCGATGGCAGTGCGTTGGTTTCCACATACCCATGTGGTGTAACTGCGATCCTAATTAAACACAACACCCAATTCCTGCCTGTGCTCCTGGGGCTAGTCTCACTTGAAAACCTTGACCACTGACTTCTGGTGGGCCTTTCACCAGGCTCAACGACCTTCCATTTCTCTACCATGTTCTACTCGGTTCCACCTTCATGCCTCCTCCCTAAGGACGCAGCTTCCTCTCCCACTGGCAAGACAGAAGCAGGAGGGAACTCTCACAGGCTCTCATCTCACGATCGCTCTCCCCTCACGGTCTGCCCACCTCCTATGTCTGGGCCCACATCCTTTCCTCCCCTTCTGCTTCTGGAGCTGAGTTACACACGAGCGTACCCGTAACCGAGTCTTCCATCCGCACGGCGCGTCCATCGCTTCCTTCCTGCTCCCCTTCACTGGAACATTCCTCTCAGCAGGCAAATATGCTAGACTCTCTCCAGGCCCCATTTTCTCTCCCATGTATCACACCTCTTCTCTGAGCAACTTTCCAATAAAACTCCTCTAACTGGAGTTTGAGTCCCTGCCTACTGTGCCGCTTCTCCTAAGACCTTTGTTTTCCTTTGACTTTGCCTCAATGCTGCTGTTAGTTGCACTGAGTTGATTCCAACCCAGAGCAATCCCAGTGTGACTGCCAGGAGTTGAACTGCTCCACAGGGTTTCCAAGGCTGTGACCTCTGGAAGTAGCTGACCAGGCCTGTCTTCTGAGGTGCCCCTCAGTGTGTCTGAACTGCCAACCTTTTGGCTAGCAGTCTAGTGATTAACTCTGCAAGTCTGCTGGCCCTCCAATTCCTCTTCCAATTACTTCTAACCTCATCTGATCAGGCATCCATCCTTCCCACTTCACCAAACTGACTTATCAACGTCACCGATGGCCTCCAGACTTCTAAATCCAATGGGCCTTCCTCACTCTTCATCTTCCTCATCAGCAACATGTGACACTGCGATCTCTCACTCTCCTTGAAACACCTTCTTCACTAGGCTCCTGTGATGCTAGTGGTTTTCCTCCTACCTGACTGGTTGTACCTTCTGTCTTGTTTCCTGGTTTCCCATCCCCCAAAGAATGGAGGGCACCAGGGCTCTTTGAGCCTCTTTCCAGGGCTTTGAACTGGTTCATTCCAGTTCAACTCCCTCCTGAGAATTTGCCATTTATACTGGGGAGCTCTTGTGGCATAGTGCCTAAGGCATTTGACGGTTAACCAGGAGGCTGGTGGTTCAAACCTACCAGCCACTCCTCAGAAGAAAGACTGGGCAATCTACTTCCAGAGTGTTATCACTTCAGAAACCCAAGGAGGGGTCACTGTGAGTCGAACTGACAAGATGGCAGTGAGGTTTTTTTTTCCATACTGTATACTGAATCAGAATTTACATTTTAACAAGATCCTCCAGTGATTCCTACAGATGCACACCTAAGAATCACCAGGGGATCTTGTTAAAATGTAGATTCTGATTCAGTACAGCTGGGGTACAGAGCCCTGCTGCCGTGGTTAAGTGCTTGCCTACTAACCGAAAAGTCAGCTGTGTGAACCCAGCAGCCGCTCCATGGGAGAAAGATGTGGCATTCCGCTTTTGTAAAGATTACAGCCTTGGATGGAACCACTGAGACTATGGCCCCTAGCTGCCCTTCAGGTCTGGAATTGAACCCACACCTGTGGTTTCCAGCCAAACAAAGTACAGGCATGTGAGTT